TGTTTACCCACCGTATGCTATGTGCTCGAGAGAGAAGCCTCTAGTGAAAACTATGCCCTTCGGGTCTACTCTACCATATTATTAAAACTAGAAATATCTTGCTGCAATTTATTTAATTTTATTTTGTTTTGCAATTTATTTATCTATCTATCACTATCAGAATTAATCCTTGCAAGTAACGAGTTCAAGGGATTGACAACCCTCTTGCCCGCGTTGGGTGCAAGTATTTGCTTTGTGTGTGTAGGTGTCGTCGAAGGGAATTTACTTGGTTCTCCAATCGGTTCCATAACTTTGGTTCTCACTGAGGGAAATACTTAACTCTACAGTATTGCTTCACACCTCCTCTTCAGGGAAATCCCAACGCAGTTTATAAGTAGCAGACGTCGCTGCACCAGTGACCAAACCCCATGAGCCCTTTATGCATCATAATTATTCTAGCTAAGGTTCGGCCTCCCCCCTCTCTCTCTAGTTCTCCACCATAGTCCTCCCCAAAGGGCTCCTCCTCCCTCCAGTTCTACTCCGGCACGACTTATCTCTAGACGGCGAAGCCCTACTGGATCAGAGGATTCATATGTGTGCAATCCGACAGAGGAACCATATGTCTGGTTTTAGTTCGAGGGATCATACGTGAGACGTCGAGAACACAATCTTCACCAACAAGTTCTTCTAGTGCAACTCGATACTTGGTAAGACCAGATCTAACCTTGTATGCACGTTCTTCATAGTAATCCTAGGATATGCTAGGTAGGTCGATATTTTTTAGTTGTGTACTACGTTTCCCGACAGGTTACCGCAGTCCACACCGTCCAGTATTTCTAATTACAAGTTTGAGCTCCACTGGGATAATCTAGTGTAGCACAAGCTTGTTGTTTCTAATTGTGCAAATTCTATAGTTATTTTAGTGTTTTGCATAATGCATAGATTTTTTCAAAATAGAAAGAAGTAGATGTATAACCTAAGTTTGCTTTATTATTTAGTACTAGTTGACTGTGTAAATCCGAGTTTCTCTAGTATTGTAACTCTTTCAAATTGTCAAATTAAACTAATCTTTCTCTTTGGACAACTTGCAATTTGTAATATTATGATTTTCCTTTTCAGAAACCACTTCAACTAGCCTAGTACTATGTCTATTAGTACTCAAGTATTTGTTGGAACACATTGTATACCATGTAACAAGCAACTGAAGCAAGAAGATTTTGGTGTTTTTTAAAGAATGAGCCCCTGAACCCAGGATGCATGGCGAATGATCCAATATGTCAGGACCAATGAAGGAATTGAAGAGCTTCATATTCAGTTTATTTTAGCTGCTTGCTGCTTCTAGTGTCTAGATTACAGGAAACATGTTTCTTCAAGTGTCTACACACTCCAGGAACTAAGTTCCTTATAGAAGTAGTCAAACCTGGATACCAATTTATTGGAACCATTATATTTCTTGTAGAAGTAATGCAATGTATTCTCTCTCTTATGCCTACTTGAAATACCGTTGTGGCTCTGTACTTTGCCTTCCATATTGCAAGAATAACACATTGTATGCGCATTCTCTCTCTTAACTGTAGAAAGGATGGAGCTGGAAAGTGTGGTGGACCTTCTAACATTGATATTGTACATGTACAAGCTACGTGGCACTATTGTTTATCATATGGATTATAGATGCACTGACACTGAAGTTTGTAACATATTCTTAAATTTCTTTTATTTTAGTAGTGATACTATGTTATCTAAAAATCTGGTAGCCGTGACCTTGATATTTCCTACAAAACCAGCAAAAATAGAATAAAAAGGTTACTAGAGAAATATTACAATTGGCGATTGAATGCCAAATGGCAGTGATTTTATATCTATGTGTTGGAGCTTGAGGAAAGACTTACATGTAGACTATACGAGTGAAACCATCATTTATTTAGATGAGCCATTACCAGAGCAAATATACTATATTTGTAGCTGAAGTTAACATTGCTAAAATATTTCACTTGGCGGCAACTCCAAGGCAAGAAACATACATATAAGGATATTTTAGAATATGTGAAAATGTTGAAGCTTTAGCGCCGCGCACTAGCTTTCGTGGAGGAGCTGCACCGTTTGGGATGTGCTGGTCAGTTTCTGTTGGTTGAGGGATTGGCCATGAACATTGCATAAGCCGACTGCGAGGAGGTGGTCTATGTCGGGGAAGAGGGCAACGATGGGAAGGAGACCAGTGGCGTGAAAGAGGGTGCTGGAGGGAGGAGGTCGATAGGAGGAGGAGAGGGAGATGCAATGGCAGGGCGGCTAGATGAATACAGTAAGGTGGAGAGCTGGCAGCTCGGCGGTGGCAGGCTTGTGAGAAGGAAACAATGGTGACGTCATAGTTAGCGCTTGGACCGGGTTTGTAAGAAGGGGAATTCACAACTAAGTGTTATGCCACTCGGTGATGGCATTGTCGTCATAAATATATTAAGCTATGTGATTTGGACTCTACGTAAACTTCGGCGACTTCAACAAACTGTACTATGAGAGGCCTTCGATCCGCGGGATTGGTAAAGCACGGGGTTAAAAGAGATTCAAACAATTGTTAAACAAAAAATATGCTCTTAGACATCAACATATCAAACTGAAGTGAGACTGGTTGATGTGTCTACCTTATTAATGGTTGAATAAAATTTTGTACGTCTTAGTGTCACCTCATGATACTATCTGCATTTCATCCTCCAAAAACCATCTATGCAAAATTTATTATTTCGTTTAACTGTATTGCCACCCATAGCAATCGCACGGGGCACATGTATTAGGGTCAGTATTTTTGACAGCTTAAAAAATAAGCCGCCTCCTCCCCGGCTTTTTCCATAAACCACCTCTCTTATTCATTGGGCCTTCTAAATTAGTTATGGCATAACTAATTTAGAAGTCTCAATAAATTTTAAGAGCGACTTATTTTTTAAGCTAGGAACAAGCAACTTATTTTCTAAGAAAAAAACTGGCATAACTGGTATGTAATGGAATGGAAAGCATCGTCTGTTTTTTTAAGAGAAAACACACAAGTGGCCCCGAGAACTCTTATCCGATGGCTCTATAAATAGCTCACCCGGTCTTTTTTATGTTAAAAAACAAAGAACGAGATATTCACACACGTGCACACGGCACAGCCCGACCGACCCAGTGACGCCTCAATCAATTAATACTAATAAACAAAAAAGAAGAAAAGGGGGACTCTGTGACTCGACACCAAAGTCCTCAGATCCATTGTCGATTCGCATGGTTTATCTCGCCGGCAATCCTCACCTATCCTCACCCGGCGCATCCCGGCCATTTTTGTGCCTCCCTCCCCAGCTACCCGCCGCACCATCCCTCTTTCGGCGCACGAATTCACCTCTTTGATGTAAGCATCATGTACTCTCTCTATATATTTTTGCTTACTGTTCCAGTTGCTCACGGAGTATTCGAATTGTCCTTCAGATCTACCTCTGTGACCCGTAAATTGTGTTCCCCCTTCTTCATCCTCTTCTGTCGTAGATCTAACTGGGTCTTTCCTCTCCTAGATCTAACTGCATTCAGTTAATCGACTCGAAGAAATTACCTTTCTTGCGTGTTGCTCTAAGCACAATTCTTCACGTATACCCAATCATAGTCTCTCTCTCTAATCGCAGCAACAACTTCCAGTTTCTAATGGAACACTTCCTGTAAACAATCTTTTAGGTTAGGTAATAACATCGAGGCTTACTTCTTTCTTTCTTTTTTCTTTCTAATATAAATGTCGCATTAGTTCTCTTTGCGTAATTTTCCGGTAGCTAATAGTACCGAGGAGGGCCAGGACGTGAGATTTCTTTCCCATCTTAACCCTCAGTAATAACTACACGCCCAGCAATCCTGGATTGCATGAAGCAATCAACCCTAATATCAACCAAGTTAAACAAGCACGGCATGCATAGCATTAAATGAGCTTGCCATGCATGGCATTTTCTTCTGTAGTCGTTCGCTTGCATGGCATTAAACCAGAGCGGGATGCACCGCATTAAATCTGTGTGGGGCCAAGGGGTAATTTTGTGTATGGGGTGTGAATCTCACCCAGCTTCTTTTTCGACGGAAAAAGGAAAAAAATCCGTTTTAAATACTCCCTCCGTCCGGAAATACTTGTCATCAAAATGAATAAAAGGGGATGTATCTAGACGTATTTTAGTTCTAGATACATTCCTTTTTGTCCATTTTGATGACAAGTATTTTCGGACGGAGGGAGTAATTTGTTTGGGCTTTGGTGCTGTGAACTGCCGCCGAAAATTTCACTTCTTGATCTGTTATACAACGCTGGGGCTTCAATAAACTGGAGCCCAGGTCAATGTTCCCCATCCAAATGCATACCGTTCTGTAATATGATAAAGGAATCTGGGAAAATAACAATTAACAATGTACTTCCTCTGTTGGGAACTATGATCACCTTGTTGCAGTACTGAACATTTACCAATACTTTCTGCTTCAGGTCTCCAAAGAAGACAGTGGTTGATTATACAGGAGGCTTGAATAGGGCGGAGAGACTCGCAGCTAGAAAAGACAAAGCTGTGCCGTTGATCTCGAGTGGGAGTGATGGCAGGAAAAGAGGAAGGGTTAGTAAATTTAAGAAACGAATGGACAAGATGGTAAAATGTGAGCCCTGATTTCAGGCTATTATTATTCGTTTTCTTGCACATATATATAGCTAAGTAGAGTACTGACAGTTGAAGTGTGTCGTGTTCTTTTATTAGTGATGAGGGAAACACAGGCAGCTGAGGCTGCTGCCGCTGCTGAGAAAGCACGACTTTTCAAGTTAGAGCACCCTCATCAAGTTGTTTTGAACACTCATTTCCAAGAGAAAGAGTTTGGTGATATATCACTTCCAGATACCGCGCACTACAAGAAACAAACTCAATGGCTGTCTTCAATTGTTGTCTCTCTTGCTTTGTTTGATGGTGATTCCAGTGCTTTGTATTTATGCATTCTCCACATTTGTATGTATTCGTTGTTGGTTATTTGACTCGTGATCTTGTGCAGGAAGTATGATGTTATTTGCTTGCTCAGGCCTAGCTATACCATCCGGGACAACTAAACTAGAGCTGAGAAGATTTGTGACTTCAAGACGTTTGGTTGAGGAATTCAATAAAAACAGAAATACAGATGATAAATTGAGGTTGGTGCGGCTAAAGTGCTAATCATTATCATTCCATTTTTCTTTGTTTGTTCAAGCTACTTGTAACATTTTGTGCTGATGTACTGCTTTTATCACGTCAGATTGATGTGTGCCTTCCAGATAATACGCATATGGATGGGTTCTTGGGACTATATGATAAAGATATTGCTATTGTCACGTCCTGTGACTTCACGTATTGTGTCCCCACGAATGATGTCTGTCCTGTAAATCTGGACCTTCATGTGCCTCTGCCTTCTGATCGTAAGGTAATTGCAGCTGCTCGTATGTTTGGATCGGGCCGTTTGATGGTCAAATTGGGGCGTCTGACTGGAGACAGTCGTGCAAGATGTGATGGAATCACAGAGGTACACTGTTGATTGCTTTCTTACTTTTTGGCATGATGGAAGACTTGAAACAAATAATTGGATTATGATATATGTGGAATTCTCTTTTGCTATTTTCTCTTGTAATCCCTACCACTTAACTTCCATTCTAGGCTGCACTTGGAGGGCCGCTCGTCAGTCATGATGGGAAGTTTCTTGGGGTCATCCTTTGTGTCGAGGGCACTTCTTCTTTGTTCCTATCACTGATGGCCCTTCGTGAACGCTTGGAGCACTTTCAGTTACTCAGGTGTTTTCTAATACTTCATGAGCTGCATCATTTTGAATTTTGTTTCCTACACTTGTTTGAAACCCCCTCTTCTCTTCCACTTCACCATTGCATTTTTGGATATTAATATGATTGGAGTCCATGAGTAAGACTTTTCACAAAGTGAGCTGTCAATTGGTAGCAGTGTGGTTCTTGCTACCTCTTCCTGGTGTGGATACTTGTGTCGTTACATCTCATGTTGCTAATTTAATCCTCTTCATTCATTGTTGCGGATAGTATTTTTTCTAAATAAGAAGAGAGTTAAAACAATTCGTCTGGACTAAAGTATGGACAATGTAACTCATACCGTGACATCTGGTCTGCTCATTTCTTCCATGTTTTCGGTTGTGTATTTATTTATAAGCTTGATTTCTAAGTCTTTTCTCCTGCCTTGTTTCCTTTTGCACAACTAGGTACAAGTGTCTGTATAACTGTTTTGATGTTGGGCTAGCACACCTGTGTTTATTTATCATAACAAATATAAACCTTTCTTTTTTCTTTTTGGATCATAACCAAATAAAAACTTCTCATACTGTGTTTGCTCTATTGCAGTTCTAAAACCAGAGACTTCCGTAGATATTCCTTGCCTGCAGATGTATCAATCATAATCCCTTCAGGTAAGAATGTTACCTGTTGATCATTACACCCAGAATATTTTGTGGCTGTTAACGTGCATATCATCTGAGAACTGATATTGACCACCTTATTGCATAAGGATTCTGGTTTATAATTAAGAAGCTAGAGTCAGTTGGCTATCCCATGCCACCACCACTTGTGCTTGAATGTAAGTCGCTGCTTTCCATGTTGCTGAACTCTCCTTTGTGCACTTTTCTGTACTACCTTTTTCTTTAAACAGTCAATGGGAAATTGCTCGAGACATTTGAGGAGGAGTTTGGTGAATTACTTGCATGGAAAGGGTATCCTTACGTCGTTTCAAACCCCTGTTCTAGGGAGTATGTTTGGGCGCTACTTCCAAGAGACGTTGTTACAAATATATCCCGAAGTGTTGTCAAACTTGCTTCATTCAATGGTGATTCTTCTAGCTGTATGCTGCTCATCACTTCCTTACCACTAACTAATGATTGAGGCTATGATGTGTAGGAAACATCAGGTCTTTTGCATGCACAGGCTTGCTTATAAAGTGGCCTGGAGCTGAAGGCACAAACACTGTCATTCTCACTTCGGCAAGTTTAGTTAGAAGTCGTTATGATCACTTCAAGATTGATAATAACTTAACGGTTGGCTTTGCTATAACCATTTCCTTCTTTCTTCACGTTGGATGATGGTTTGTTGAACTGATCTTATTATTGCAGATTGACGTGTTTCTCCCACCAAAACAACATGCCAAGGGGACTTTGGTATTCTACCATTTAAATACTAATCTTGCTGTTGTCAGTCTTGAGAAGCGTATCCATGGCATTCGTCCATTTGATATTTGCCGTAAAGGGGATTTATCTAAACCAGTAGTAGCTATAGCGCGTAAAATTGAAGCAGGGTTTTTAATGGCCTCAAAGGGTGAAGTGATTTACGGCCAGACCTGCAGCATTTATGTCGAAAAGCTTATGCTTTCCACTTGTAAAATCAACAAGGTATGTTACTCCAAGGTATCAACAGGGTAAAGTTTGGATCAGAATACATATGAGTTATCTCTTTAATCAATCTGTTAATACATTGTAGTCTGACCCGACCTGTTGACCCTTGTGCTTTCTGAACAATATGTATATATTTAATTAATTGTCGTAGAAAGAAAGACAATTTCTGTTTTTCTTCTGGACGAATATGATTTGTGAACTTCTCCCTTTGAGAAATAAATTATGAAGGATTACCAAATCGATAAACACTTGATGATTGTGAATCCATTACAACTTGGTTCATTGACCGGTACATGCATCTTTTCTGCACTAGGCTGGGATTGGAGGTCCCCTTATTAACTTTGATGGGGCATTTGTTGGCATGAACCACTATGATGGAAGTGAAGTAACTCCTTTCCTGCCAAGGCGTGGGATTGTTCAAATTCTGAAAGGAGAGATTAATTGGCGAAGACAAAGGTGATTTTTCTAAGACCTGTTGCTATTTGGGTGGGCATATACCCTTTTTTTAGAATGGGTGGGCATATACTTGTTTCTGTGAGCTTGCATTGAAAAAGTGTGTTTGTCGACAGTGGGCTCTCCATGGACATACTGCATGGTGTTGGATATAGGAGTCAGATAGACCGGCGAAGGTATTCTATTTCTTCCTCAGTACCGTCTTTTTGTGGGGGACAGTTCCCTCTATAAACTAATATAAGATCGTTTAGATCACTACTTTAGTGAGCTGAATGGTGATCTAAACGAAGTAGTGATCTAAACGATCTTATATCAGTTGACAGAGGGAGTAGTTGGTAATTATTCAAGGAAGAATTTACATCGGAAAAAATATATTGGATGACAGGTGGCCTGTGCCTGAGCCGTATTGGCACCATGATCTACTTGGTATGGACAAGTATGATTTACACCCGCATGTTGGAAGACAACTCTAGTAACGTCATGCTGTTGGAGTGCTATCGTCTGGTTATTCTCGTGCTTGTTTTCTAACGGACCTGTACACTACTGCCCAGGGTTCTCGTTCTGCTCATGTTGGATCTTGCTCATGTTGGACCCGTGTTACCCGTAAAGAGTATCCTACCATCGAATCAGGTTCTCGATAATTTAATTCAACAAACTTTATGCAGGCCGTGTGTTGTGCCAGTTAGTTATGGGTATTTGGATGGTGATAACTATGTCGCCAATGCGAGTGCTACAAATCATCCGACTGATGCGACCACAAATTTAAACCGCCTCCACCGCCGTTGGATGCGTTCCATCATAACCATCGCTTTTGTCCAATGGATCCCCGCATGCTTGGCCTCCCACCAGCATCTCGGCAGCCAGCGCTGCTACTGCCCCCCGCTGCAAAACTGAAAGCCGGCCACCACCACACCCCGTCTCCGCTTGCAGCAGTTCTCGCTGCCACTTAGCCATTGCCGGCAGCCCTTGCAGCAAGGCCGGCTTGTAGTTCCGCCGAGTGCCGCATCGCAGCGCCGCACCAGTCGTCGCCCGCAGCAGTCATTGCAGCGTCGCGGTCCATGACTTGTCGCACCGCCGGAAGCCGCGGCCGCTTCATTGCAGCTCCACCGGCAGCAGCGCCCGCTTCATTGCAGGGCCGCTGTCCTCGACCTTTCGCGCCGCCCGAAGCATCGCCCGCTTCATTGCAGCTCCGCCGGCAGCATCGGACGCTTCATTGCAGCGTCGCCGGCAGCAACAATCGCTTCATGGCGGTGTCGCTGTCCTCGACTTGCCCCACCGCTGGTAGCAGCGTCCACTTCATTGCAGCGTCCATGAAGCGTCCCCGTCCTTGACGCCGGAAGCAACGCCCGCTTTATCGCACAGCAGAGTCCGCTTCATGGCAGCGTTGCCTTTCCATGACTTATCGCGCCGCCCGCAGCAGCACCGCCGCGACATCGAAGATGGAGATGCTCCACCTGTACTCCCTGCACCAACAGGCTATCCTCTCGCTGCACCGCGAGCTCAACAACACCGGCTGTGCACCAGACGCTCTTCCCTCCCGGCAGCGTCGACGCCACCCTGCAACATCGGCTGACGCAAATGGTGCAGGCTGACGCGGGTGGTACAGGTCACCGTTGGGTGCTGCCAGCCTCGATGAGGGCCATGGCGAACACTTTTTTTTTTTGAAAGGGCATGGCAAACACTTTGGGTAGGTTTTTTTTGAAAGGAACTGTGGATTGGGAATCTGACTCGGGTGGTCTAGTACGCGAAGAAAACGAGTGCTCTTGAGGATGGATAAGGTAGACGTGGGGATAAGGCAGACGTGGTGTGTGGGCCATGGACGCGTGGCGCTCGTCCGAGGCGGTTGATTTGCGAGATATCAGCCGGCTGTTTTAAAGTCTATTCCATGTACTCTCTATGGTCCCAAATATTTGTCTTAGATTTCAACAAGTGACTACGTACGGAGCAAAATAAGTGAATCTACACTAAATGTCTATATACACCCGTATGTGGTAGTTCATTTGAAATCTTTAAAAAGACAAATATTTAGGAATGGAGGGAGTATGTATTACTCCCTCCGTTTGTTCGACGTGATTTTGTAGCAATGAAGAGAAGTTATATACGTACTGATGCATGGTATTAAAGGAAAAAAAGGAAATTATAGACCAATAATTTCTTTTATTTTTGTAGTTCTTGTTCTCTTCCACAGGACTAACCTATCTATTTATGTTTGGCTATAGATGATTTTTATTAAGTGTAGAATGCACAAGGGAGAACATGTCTATACAGAGACTAGTTGAGCTCTTGGTTAGCTTTGTACGTGGTGCATGGCAAAATTACTTACTCCCTCCGTTCCTAAATATTTGTCTTTCTAGATATTTCAACAAATGACTACATACGGAGCAAAATGAGTAAATCTACACTCTAAAATATGTCTATATACATCCGTATGTGGTAACCATTTGAAATCTCTAAAAAACAAATATTTAGGAACGGAGGGAGTACGAACAAGTGCATGCATGCGTCGAAGGTCACGCACATACACGTAGCCTATGGCCAGTGGATTCTTACGTACCCGCTCTAGCCGGCGTACACATACACTTGTGAATACCGGTGTACCGGCCAGCCCGTATTTATACGTACTCGAATACCCATGAATCATGCATTCAGCGAGAGCACTACAGGCCCACGTGCAGCCGAACAATTACATGATATGGCCCGTATGGTATATTTTGTTTCTTGGCTTGCAGGACACGAACGAGCTGAGGATAAAGATTAGAACCAGCCGCTGCGATCTTCAGGGGGATCAAGCCAACAGCAGTTCGGCCTATATAAAGCAACGCATCCGGCGCTCAGATGAGGGAGGACAAGGGGGTCAGAAGAGGCGCGCCGTCCCGGCGGCGTCCAGAGGCAGAGGACCGGGACACGCAGAGAAGGAGAAGACGCGCCTGCAATGGCAGCGTCGAGGAGATCGGAAGGGACACGCACCAAGGAGGTCGGCCGGGAGGACACGCCCGACGGCTTCTAGCTCATGGTGGCCACACGCCCGAGATGGCGCTGAGTGCGTGAGCTTGAAGATGCGCCGGTGACAGCCGCGGGGGGCGAGGCGTCCACGGCCGTCCTCCCGGCGTGAGCGACCGCCAGATTCACGCGCGTAGGAGAAAACGCCAGTCATCCATCATCATCAAGTTGCATGTTCCGGATGGAACGTGCACTACAACACGAGACCATCGGCGTCCTTCCTCTACGTATCAAAGGTCAGCACATATATTAATTAACCCACCTCTCTTCATGGCCTAGATCCGTCCTGGAGCACAACTGCAGCCGTTAATCATCGGTGGCGCAGGCCGGCCGGCCGTGTACGCTGTCGCGGCCTCCTCCCTTTGGTCGGAGTGCGGGGGTCGCCTGAGGTCCATGACTCGGCCGTGTGCTCCGAGTCTTCCAAGGCCAAGATAACATACGCTCTGATGTGTGTGCGCTACGGAGGAGACGAGGCATGCATATGTGTGCCTGAAGGTAGCTCATCAGGCGCACGTAAGGTCGATGCATACACACGTGTGTGGCCTTGCGTGAGCATCTTCAGGAGCCTGAGCCTACACCAGAAAAGCACGTAGGGTCCGTGCAGCGCATGCTCTGCTGCTGCTGCCGTGCAATCATGCGGCACGGCGGCGACTCAACGCATCAAGCAACAAGCATCGGTAGGAGGCCGGTGTTTACGCACGAAGAACCCGGAGGCAGAGCCGGGTGACGGACGTACGAGGGAGCTTGATCAGATCGCATCTGATCGAGAGAACTCGCGGACGCAAGGACACACCCAGGAGAGCTCACAGACGCAGGAGCCACCTCGCGTCTGCCGCTCGACGGACTCGCGCGTGCGTGAGTGCTTGGCTTGGCTTTCTTCTCTGGCAGGCGGCCGAGAGGGAAGCTAGACCGTGCCGATCATCTTCGCTCAAGGGTGAGAACCAAGATTGATCTCTCTTTGTTTCTCTCTTTCTCTACATCTTCATGGTGACGGCCGCGGCGGCGGCGATAGCCGCACGGCCGGAGACGAGGCTGGCCGCCGGCATCGGCCCTTGATGCTCCTGAAGATGGTGTGTAGGGGCTGCCATCTGCATGTAGCCCCCGGCGCACTTAACGCCGGCAACGACGCGCCGGCCGGCCTTGACGATGACGACGCCGGGGTTGCCTCTCGTGTGCAGTCCCCGGCGATTACTTCATGGAGTACTCATCACCGGCCACGACGATGCCGGGGTGGCCTCTCGTGTGCAGCCCCGGCGATTCCTTCATGCCGGACCCATCCTGCGAGCACGACGACACGCCGGGGCCTATTAGCCCCCCGGTGCACTCTCCGTTGGCGACTCCCGCGAAGAGGAGGACGACCACGCCGGGGCCGTGTAGCCCACGGTGCACTCTCCACCGATGACTCCCGCGAGGACGATGATGATGCGCTGGGGCCTTGTAGCCCCCTGTGCACTCTCCACAAGCGACTCCCATAAGGATGACGACGATGTGTCGCGGCCATGCAGCACCTGGTGCACTCTTCCCCGGCGCACTCAACGCCGGCGACGACGCGCCGGCTGGCCTTGACGATGACGACGCCGGGGTTGCCTCTCGTGTGCAGTCGCCGGCGATTACTTCATGCTGGACTCACCACCGGCCACGACGATGCCAGGGTGGCCTCTCGTGTGCAGCCCCCGGCGATTCCTTCACGCCGGACCCATCCTGTGAGGACGACGACACGCCGGGGCCTATTAGTCCCCCGATGCACTTTCCGTTGGCGACTCCCGCGAGGAGGAGGACGACCACGCCGGGGCCATGTAGCCCACGGTGCACTCTCCACCGACGACTCCCGCGAGGACGACGATGATGTGCTGGGGCCTTGTAGCCCCCGGTGCGCTTTCCACAAGTGACTCCTGTAAGGATGACGACGATGTGTCGCGGCCATGCAACACCTAGTGCACTCTCCCCCGGTGCACCCTCTACGGCAGACTGACGACATGCCACGGCTGCACAACCCGGGAGTACTCTCCGCCGGCCACACTCATGTGTCCGCCTGCCTTGAAGAAGACGACGTCGGGGTTGCCATTCGTGGGCAGCCATGGCGATTCCTGCACACCGGACTCACTACCGGCGACGAGTGCTTGGAGTGCCGCTCATGCGCAGCCCCCAGTGCGCCCTTCACTGGCGATGACGACCTATCGGCGAGGCACCATCTACACCTCTGTCTGACATTGAGCGCCCCCAAGGAGGAGGCATCGTCTACGCCTTCGCCGATAAGGAGCTCGGCCAGGGCAATGATCCATCTACATCGCCGCCACCGCAAAGCCCGTGCAAGGCGGGCGTCATCTGCATTGTCACGGACATGGCCCATCACTGGGCTTCGTTCGCGCCGACTCTTGGCTCGACAAGGCTGCTGGCTAGCCCGACAAGCTTGTTGATACCGCCCAAGTCTACTCCAACATCCACACCGCCACACATCATCAACACCGTCCTA